ATGTGGGATGTGAACTGCTAAGCATAAGGATGCAGGGTGTGAACTGCTAAGTACAAGGATGTGGGGTGTGAACTGCTAAGCATTAGGGTGCAGGATGGCCTCCACGGTCTTCTCCCTGACACTCTTCAGGAAGCTCAGCACTGCGGTTCCCCCGGTGCCCCTGTCCTCCAAGGCGTGGGGCGCAGGATGGCTCAGCATCTTGCTCCTGGCCCTGGAAGCAGCGGAGATGATGTAACGTGCCACCACATTGATGTGGTAACTGCGCAGCTGTGCCAGCGCCTCCACACACTGGTTGTAGGCCATCAGGCAGCACCCAGTCCCAGAGGTCAGCACGTAGTCCCTCAGTGAAGGAGCCAAATGCAGGTCCTCCAGGAAGGCCTTATGGGAAGGCGGCATGTGGTCTCTCATTCTGTGCAGAAAGTCTCCTGAAAGAAACAACCGGAGTAAAACCTTAACGCAAGGCCAGCATTCAGGAGCCTTTGCCTGCTGTTCCAGATTCAGATACACTGGTACCAGAAGGGTTGGATAGGGTTCGCGTTCAGCCTAGTTGGTCTTTTGTTGTAGCTTCCAAATACTCAAATGTACATTGCTGGATGTTGACAAGAGATGCAGACAAGAAAAAGAAGCAAGCATCTCTCAGATAATAAAGTTGGACAGGAATCTATGAGCTAGGGTGTACGTATCCCAAACCAAACATGAATGACATGACGTTTCCTGCTAAGGGTCATGAGGCACATCTAACACACATGCATACAAACCCTTACACTGACTACCGGAACACCCTGGTGAATTCTGTCTGCTAGATGCTTCCTGTGGTGAAGGGGTTGCACAGGTGGAACCAGTTACCAAGGGCATAGAGAAGACATTGGGAAACAGGTATCTCAGTAAAAACCCAGAGAAGTCAAAATACTGAAAACTCAAGTGTTTACTAGAAAACTCATTGCACCCTTCACTAATGTGTGGTTTTGTTTGTTTGTTTCGGTTGTTGGTTTTTGCTGCTGTTGTTTTGTTTTTGTTTATGGAGAATCAGTAACTAACATCAAATGCTGAAGTCCACAAACAGCTCTGGCTGTTCCAGGAAACAGGGCAGATGAGACAAGAGAGTTTCAATTTGATTTTGATCCCAGTCAGAGTTTGGGAGCATGAAATACCATGTGTAGCTGTTAAGGGTACAGCTCTGTGCTGGTAAGCAAAGCAGTAACTCCTTCAGAGGCTTCAGATGGATGGGCTCCCTCTTCTGGCCCAGAGGGATTCAGCGGGAGGCTGGGCCATCTCATGGTAAAGGTACTAGAAGAGTTCAGGCCCATGACTGGCTGCTGCAGACTGGGCCACACAAGGTCCTAGCCCTTTAGTTTACAAACTAAGGACCCAAGCCCACATGACAGTGACCAGCCCAGGTGTTCACCATTCCAAGACTTTGTGTTAAGACTTGGAAACGAACCCAGGATCCTGCTGAAATCTGAAGCTCCGATATTGACTAACATGGGCACAACCATCTGGTGGTTTAGGCAAGGACAAACTTCAGTACGTTGTTCTTTATACCTAGTTTTATAAGTTGGTAGAAATGCCTCCCCGTTCTGTCTAATTCTCCCCTTGAGAGAATACGTGAGGCCGGATGGTTGCTTACCACTTCCCTTGCAATGTTGAATGCCCAGGAACTCGTCGAAGGCCTGAAGCACAGAGCTCTGGGCTGCACTTCCTCCCGAGTACCTCAAAGGCTCCGTGGTCACACCCTCATAGACCAGCCCTTCAGGCATGGCTGGGTTGTCCTTCCACCTAGGCAGGAGCCAAAAAAAAAAAAAAAGAAAAGAAAAAAATGTGTAGAGGGATATTCCGAGGCACAGCTTCTTCTCTGCCGCGAGCACAGTGCCAGCGAGGAAGTGCGCATGGCACCAACTGTGGTTTGAGGAAGGGAGAGCGAATCTCGTCAGTTCCCAGACTCCCAGCAGAACAGGACCCGACACACTCAACTTGTCTCCCAAAGCTGTGCATCTGGAGTCCTTTCCTTCAGCGCTTTGCCATCTAGATGTCTACCTTCATTAAGAACCGGGCTGTTCTCTTCTGCCACCGAGCAAGGCATCTGGGTCACAGGGTAAGTAGCAGGTTTGTAGTGGTGTCTCCGTCATTCTAAGTCACTGTGTTCAGAGAAGTGAACACGTGGACCCCATATATTCAACAACTATGTGTTGACTCCCCCATCCCCCAACATCCTGGACATTCTCCAGACTCTGCTCTGAGGTTGCAAATGCACCAAGGAGCGAGGTTGCCATATTTGGAGGCTGTTTGGGGTCAACTGTCCCACAAATCTCTATGGTTATCAGCTGGGCAGCCACAGTCAGGAAGGAGGCACAGCAGAGAGGGCAGAAGGGAGGATACACAAGAAGGGGAGGCGTCCCCTAGACTGTGGGACAGGGGCTCTATCCTGGGAAGATACAGAATTCAAGCTCAGCCTCGCTGTGTGAGTTGGTAGGCCTGGCTTATTACATTTAACCTCTCGGAGCCTTGACTTCCTCATCTGAGTGGCATTAGTACAAACTGAAGTTCCTGGGGGAGGCATGCCTGAGGTAAAGATTCTAATTGACTAATTGACTGACTGGCTAATTGACTGGCTGGTCATGGAGAGTTAGAATGTTGAAGATCCAGATTCAAATGACATTGGGCTATCTTTAACCCCTCCTGACTGACCCTGTATCTCTATGACCCTTTGGAATGTATTGACTTAGTAGACAATGAGTTTCTACCACCCCAAAGCTGAAAGTGCCAACATACGCCATCTGTGTGCGACCTACGCATGGCACGTTCCTTGTCTTCCTCTAGCTTGCCTACCTGAGGTTCCCATCAGTGTACCCACAAAATCCCTTGGTTGGTAATTTTCTTTGTCCTTGCACTACAAAAACTCTTCCGTTCCTTTCTGTGTTGGGCCATGTTATTCGGGGACAACTTGAATCTGTGTTTTTTTGGCCACTAATGTTTGGCCAAAGAATAAACTAACTCTTAGTCCTTTGAGGTAAGAGCTGTGTTTTGCATTGACATTCATATTTATCTTGTTGCTCATTGTAAGAACTAACTCAAATACTATTTGCCTGGAACAGATTAAACACAGTAAGCACCCACCTCTTATTGTCCTAGCAACCCCAGGGAGCACGAATGCCAGCCACAGCTCTCATCGCTCAGTCACAATGGACAAGCCTTCCTGAGCCTCTCCCTAGGTTGTAGGGGAACCTGCTTCCCGTACCTGTTCTGGGAGTTAAACGCGCTTCAGAGAGGTCTGAGCACAATGCAAAGAATTTCAGGGCTAGTGCAGTGGGAGAAGGACATTTTCTGAGCAAGAAACATTGCAGACATGGCTGCTGTGGGGATAATGAACCTAGTCCACACCAGCGCTTGTGCTGTGATCTGTGTGAAGAGCAGCCGCGTGCACACACATGCTCCCATGTCTCTGTGGTCTGTGTGAGGACCCACAGGATGCATCCCCTGCAGCTCATGCCTCATCTTCAAGATGATCACCCCTCATGTCCGCCTCAGCTGCTTCCCTTTGGGTCCACCACTGAACGCTTTCTTTCCAACCTTGTTCTCCACCTTCCCACCCCATTCGGCAGCTGTACTGACAACCCAAAGCCACAGATATACCTCTGGTTATCCCCTGACTGTGCCTCTCCCAAAAGAAGCCAGCCCTGCCCATGCTGTCTGGCCTCCACAATGATGCATCCTTCACTTTCTCTGGCATGTTTGACCCCATTCTTCATGCCTGCTCCCTCCTCAAGGCTGTAGCAATGGTTCCCCTTGTTTGGAACAGGAATCCCCATGGCTTGCTCCATTGCCCAGGTATATCTACTCACCTGGGATGCAGTATTTTTAGATCCCAATATACAAGATACCTCAGCTGGCACACCTAGTAGTCTCTCCCTAGTTCCCTACATCCTACCTGGCAGTGCCCCATGGGGTAATACACATTGTCGGATGTTTGCTACTTAGCATCTGCTCTCCTCTCTGAAATCCCCAGCTCCACAAGGACCTTTGTTTTTCTACTTCACTGCTGTTTCCAGCATGTACGATGCGGTCTGGAATGTGGGAAGCCCTCGCTGTGTGTTTATTTGATGAAATAAATGAATGAAAAATGAGCATTCCACAAGTCAGTCCTGAAGGGACTCTGGCCAGCTCAAGCACAGTGAGCGGGCCCTGGCAAGGCCTTGGCCCTCTCCCATTTCCTCTGCCGAAAAACCTTTAGATTACATTCCTGAAGCTAGCTAACTCCCAAGTCCATTTCCTTATTTGGCTAATCCCTCTTCCTGAGTCTGACTGCCAAGGCCCAGCTATGGAAGTAGTGAAATTTAGCAATCAGAAGTCCCCTTTGTCTGGCTCACATAGCTAACTCCTCCTAACACAGGGGTTCCCCCTTTACCTTTATAAACCCCCATTTGCCCACGTGCCAGTCTGTCTCCTCTCTATCCAGAGGCAGCCCTTTGTCCCCTCCAGGACCCCTGCCCCTTTCCCTTGTTCCTTTACCCTTCTCCCTCATCCTCTATACCCTCTGCCACCCATTCTAAGTCAGGCCCATTCTAAGTCAGGCCCATTCTAAGTCAGGCCTCCCCTCTCTTCTCCTCTTAAAACTACACCTGCAAGATCATTTGCTGCTGTTTTACTGCCTGGGTCAGAAAGTAGCCATTTTAACTTTTCTTCCTTGCTTAATAAAGGATATCTCTGTAAAAACAGGTGTTTGGGCATGGTCTGTGCTTCATCGGGATCTGGAAAGGAGCCCCCACTGTGCGGGAGTCCCCCTTCAAGTATGATACCACCGGAAGACTCAAGCCAAGTTCTTGAAAGGGTCCAGCTAGCCTAAGGGAACTATCCAATATGGCGGAGGCCAAGAACACATCAGGAAGTGTCCCTCCAGCACACACTGGAGTGGCTTTGCTATAGCCAGCCATGCTGACGCTGATGCAGGAAACTGCAGCACAAAGGGCAGATGACATGGGTCTGCTTTCACACTCCACGGCTGTGTGAGACTCGCCATCTCGGTGAGAGCCACTGAATGAACCAAGTAGGTGAAAGTCTCTCCCAGGCTCTCCCAGGCTGGGCTGCTGTTTGGGAAGGGATGGGGCCCTTTTCACTTCCGGTCTCCATGGTAAGGTTATTTGTAGTCTTGCTGGTGTTATTTCTAGCGATTTCAAGGAAAGAGGAAGTCAAAAGAGACAGCAAAAATGAGGTGACAATTTCCCCCAGAGGAGTTCCTGGCCTTTCTGGGCTGGGAACCGAAGGGAACACATCTCGTTTCCACATGAAATCCTCTCCTAAATTTCTTTTTAAGAAAATGTGTTTTAAGAAGCAAATGAGACACCAAAGACCCAAAGCAAGGCGGATGCAGAGTGGGAAAACTGACATTTTAAAGACAAGTCTATTGTAAATTCTCAACACTCTGGATGCTTTTTGAAACTATAGCTATGCTCTAGGATTTGGTCCAGCCTCGTAGCCACCCAGGAAACAGTCTCAGGGAGCGAAGCAGAGGACAGGCTTTATGCAGACACCAGATAAAAAGTGTCATTACCCTACGCTTATTTTGATGAAAACCAAGCTACCTTCTGGTTCCTATCACGCTCTGAGAAAGGAGGAAGTAGAATGGATTCCTTTGAAAGACACTGGTGGGTAGGATTCTAAAATTAGTTCCCCAAGATTTCCAACTGAATTCCTAGGACACTTAATACTATGAGATGTTCCCATCAGTGTGATCTAATATACGACAAGGCGGAAGGACCGTTCAGATGCAATTAAGGCTCCTAATCAATTTAACCTTCATGTGGGAATTTCCTTGACTCATCCCTGGCGGTCAAAGGAGAAGTCAGAAAAAATGTGTAGTTCTAAAAAAACTCCAAGTACCGTCACTGTGTCAGAAATCACAACTGGTGGGGGGGGGCAACATAGGAGGCTTCTAGCAGTCCAGGTATCATTTCTACACACACACACACACCAAAGCAAAACCTAATATGCTAGCACTGAGTTGGGAAGCAAGTTTGTGGTCACATTCTCAGCTAAAGCTGCCTGGTGCAGGTATGTTGGTGTATGCATACCCATAACTACAGAGCAAGGGAGGCTGAGAGAAGAAATCCCAAATTCAAGACCAGCTTGGGCTACATTGTGAGATTTTGTCTCAACAACCTCATGGCTAGAGAGTTCATCCCTCCCTCCGATTACCTTGATTTCAGCCTCTAGAGGCCATTACAGAAATCACCCTGAGCTTGCCTGCACTTTGGGCCCACAGAACTGGGGAAACAGCCAGGTGTTTAAAGCTGCTGGACACGTGGAGGTGTTCTACAGAGAGCTGACAGGGGTTCCAGGGTAGGGAACCACTTAGGGAGGTCCGGCTCACTGACCGGTCTAGTATATGCCTGCTGTAGGGTCTCATATAAAGAGAGGCCTTTGTTGCCCCTTAGATCAAAATGGTTCCCTTGGGGAAACGTTTCAAAGAATCGACCTATCAGAACATGAAGCTCTTCTGGTTTGGTCTGAGGTTTGGTCCTTGGTCCTTCGATCTCATCATTTGGCTGTGACTGAGGGATGCATCAGGGTGGAGGAAACATGAAGGAGCAAGGCTGGGGACCCTGGGGCTGAGTTTCCCCCAAGCCCTTCACAGGTATGATTTCCTTCCAGGAGTCTTCTTCCTCCCAGTACTTTCACAACTTCTCATCAGCACCACAGACTGGCAGACAAGCCTTCTACACACGGCCTTTGGGGCTGTTTAGAATCTACACTGTATGACCATTAGCTCATTCTCCTCTCTATTTCTTTCAGATTACTCTCTGGAAATCTTGTTTCTAATCTTTACCCCCTCAGTAGGGTTAACCTCCCAAGCCAGGCCCACCTTAAAGAGCCCCACAGCTCTTCAATTTGAAGAAAGTATATTATTTATGTATCCATTTTGCTTTTCTTCCAATGGGAGATGGCAACAATGGATTTGCATGTGGTCTGTCTCTTGCTGTGTCTAGGCATGGCTTTGATTCTTTCTCTCAACAGTATCCCATGCACCTCCAAACCAACAAGACAGAGACATTAAAAACTGACTGGACTCTGGTAGTTGGTGAACTAGATTGTCAAGTCAGGGATAGTTAGGACTGTATTCCCCACTGCTCTGAAGGCCAGGCAGTCTAAGAGCAAGGCAGAGACAGTTTGGTAGGGTCAAGATCTGAACCCTGGTTTCCAGATGGGTCCCTGGATGCTATGACCTCATGAGGTCAAAGGGCAAAGAGGAAAAACATGACAATTACTTCGCAGGCTTCCTCTCCATTTTCCCTCTCCTCCTCCCCTTCCTCTCTCTCCACTCCTATCTCTCATTTTTCTGCCCTTGTCATCAAGTTAGACTTCTAAGAGATTCATGGTTCTGGTCCAGCAGCTAAGGACAATCTCTTTGCACTTAAGTACCCAGACATGGAGTCCTTCGTCCTTATGATGGTGTGTGTGGGGGAGTGGGGTCTGTCCTCCTAGAGTGGACCCAGGTGGTGACTTTGCCAGCTTTGATCGCTTGCTATATTTCTTACTTTAGAACGCTCCTATCTGTCCACCCTCACACAAACTTGGGAAACCGTACCGAGGTCTCAGGCAGGAAACCAACGGCACTGTACTTACCCAGAGAGGAAGATCCGGATGACTGTGTAAAATATGTCTGGGTCTACATAATCTGGAACACAATCAAACATGAACTTTACCAGAGGCAAAAAAAAAGCAATTGGCCACATGTGCCTGAACCCCACTGCTTTCCTGGGGCTCCCCCATCCCTATCTGATCTATGCAGAGCCCAGAATGGAAGCAGCAGCGAGCATAGATGGAATGCTCCCTTGCAGAGGGCATGGGCCCTTGCGGGGCTGTTAATCCATTCCGTGTGCTAACCTCCTCTGCTTGAGGCACTTCTATTTTCTGCTCCTCACCACCGCCAGCAAGAGATGAAGGCCATCCTTTGAAAGCACAATGGTTTAAGTAGACACGACGCGCAAAAGACTATGATAAGCTGAGGAGAGGAACGCAGAGAGCAGGGACCACCCCCTTTTCTACAGGAGAGGCAGAGCAAATGATCAGCGTCCAGAAGTTTCTGTGTCAGCTGAGGGTTTCTCAGGGAGTTGCCACCACAGGTTCATAGGGCTCAGTTAGCTCCAAGCCTCACTGGCCGGCATGGACAGCCATGCTCGTGGGAGGATCGGTTCCACTCTGTATGGAGTCCCACCTAAGGAAATGCGCCGTTGTGGCTCTATTAATTCCAAACGTCTTTGGTCTGCTTTGAAAGGCTGATTTTGCGACAATACTGAGTTCCTCTGCCTTCTGGAGACTAGTCTACATTCATCTTACCCAGATTAAGGTTTAGGTTTCTTGGTTTCTGAGAGAAAAAGAAATACCTTTTGATAAGGCTTAACTAATAACACAATGCTTCCCATTACCTTCCCTTCCCTCTTATCACACATGGAGTCCAGTCTTTGTCTCTTCTCTCTGTCTACTTTCTCTGAAGCTGGCAAGACTTGAGATGTCCAGGCCTCAATACTTCAAGACACTTATCAGTGTAGCCATACCCTCTCTTCTCAAGGTGACTATGTCCCATGTGCTAGATGTTTTCTGGGACCTCTCCTGGATATTGGTGCTTGCTCATCCGTATTGTTAAGTACTACAAACAGCTCTTTGCAAAAGGAGTAATACTGCGTACTAAACTGCTATTTGACACAACTTACTGTATTAACGGTAAAGCCAAGCGATCCTTATGATAGAAACAGCAGGGTTTACATGAAAATGTAAAACATATTCAGTGGATATTTTAAAAGAGATTCGTGAGAGAAGGATCAATGCTTCCATTTGGTTCTGTATTAGAGCTTCTAGCCAGAAGAAAGAAATAAAAGTTGTAAGAATTAATGAGGAATGGATGGATAAGGTAAGACATTCCATGGTGAAACCACATTTAAGCAATATCTGTCTTCAACCACAGCTCTACTAAAGGCCCTAGAAGGAAAACTCCAGCCTAAAAAGGTTAACCACACCCAAGAAAACACAAGGAGTAAATAATCCCAGACTAGCAAATCAAAAGAGCGGAAACGTGCATGCGCATGCACGTACATACACACACACACACACACACACACACACACACACACACACATACCATCACCACCACAACCACAACAACAAAGTAAAGGAAATCAAACACAGCTTATTGATTACTGTCAAGACTAAAGGCTTCAATTCCCGAGTAAGAAGATATAGACTGATTGAATGGATGCAAAATCAGGATCCATTCTTCTGCTGCCTCCAAGAAACATACTTTAACATCAAGGAGAGCCATCACCTAAGGATAAAAGGATAGAAAAAGATATTCTTACCAAATGGACCTAAGAAGGAAGATGGTGTGGCCATTTTAATATCTGACAAAATAGACTTCAAACCAAAACTAATCAGAAGAGGTGGGAAGGACACTATATACACAAAAGAAAAAAAATCTACCACGAGGAAGCTGCAATTCTTAACATCTATATGCTGAACACAGGACACCAAAGTTTATAAAAGAAATGCTGTTACAGCTAAAATCACATATTGATCTACCTCAATGGCCAACTGTACCACTCTTGGGCATATACCCAAAGAACACTTCATCTGCCACAAGGACACTTGCTCAGCCATGCTTATTGCTGTTCTATTCATAATATCCTGAAATTGAGAACAACCCAGATGTCCCTCAACAGAAGAATGAATGAGGAAAACGTGGTGCATTTGTGCAGTGGAATATTACTTAGCTGCTAAAAAAAAATAACCAGAAATCATGACACTCACAGGTAAAAATCATCCAGGTAACCCAGACCCAGAGAGATAAATATAGTATGAATTCACTTATATGTGGATATTAGTTGACAAGGCAATAGTAACCAAGCTACGATTGACTGAACCACAGAGGTTAGGTATAGCCCAGGGAACTAAATAGACTATGTAGTTACAGATGGACATAGTTATAGATGGATGGATGAAGAGTACTAGAATAGGAATATTGAGTGGAGATGGGAGGGAAAAAGAGGGTGGGGGAGGGAAGACAGAGAGAGACAGTTAAAATTAAGGGTCATTGAGGGGTATTTTAGAAGCCTAATACAATAGAAGTTTCTAAAATACAGACATATATGAAGGCGATCTAAATGAAATCACCAAATAATGGGGGACACAGAGCCCCAAATGGACATTTCTTGTCATCAAATCCTCCAGTACTGGGATTAGGTTACATCTAATTGAGCTGTTTGTCAAAGGGGTTCCATGAGAACCCCCAAACAACCCATGTTGTTGCCAAGACTACAGACTGCTCTCCACAAACTGACAAGCTGCTATTTCTGAAGAACACACTTAACACAACTCAGTGAACATGGAGAAATCAAGCTGGTGCCTACAAAGAGCCTTCACCGCTGTGTGCAAGCGTCTTTGGTGCAAGAAGGTACTCTGCAGGCTTCCAAAGGAGAACCATAAACAGGTCCACCAAAGGAGAATCATAAACAAGCCCGCCAAAGGAGAACCATAAATAGGACAGTCACAAACCCATCGGCTCATCCACAATGTGTCCTGCCTGCAAATCACGCTACAGCAACCGCGGCACAAAGTTTGAGGCACAACTAACCAATATCTGATACTTAACGCCCGCTCCACAAAATGGAAGCCATACCCAACACTGCTTAGGTTACCAAAACCCTAAAACTAGATAGCCGAGGGACCTAGGGAGAAACCAAATAATATTGGTCTAGAAAATAAAAACAACAACAACAAAAAGCCCTCAGCAATAAAATGACTCCTAATGACTTGCTGCTGTACCCAAAGACCAGTGCCTTGCCCATCTATCATCAGAGAGGCTTCCTCCTGCAGTAGATGGGAACAAACACAGAGACCCTTAGCCAGACATCATGCAGAGAGTGAAAGACCTTGGAACATTCAGTACTAAATGGATTTTGATGTCTCCATCAAATGCTTCCTCTCAGGGTTCAGGATACCCTGTGGAAGAAGAGGCAGAAAGAGTGTACGAGCCAGAGGGGATGGAGGACACCAAAGAAACACAGCTTCTAACTCAACTGGATTGACACACATAGACTTACATAGACTGAGGCCGTGTGCACAGGACCTGCAGGGGTCTACACAAGATGAGGTCCTAGAACTGAAAGGAGGAGTGGACACATGCCTCCATTCCTAGTCCAAAATCTATCTCCAACTGATAATCACTCATAAATGAAAACTTAGCTTTCTCTAAGGGGGTTGCCCTGGGAAAACAAACCACTCTCAAGGATAGGCTGTGATTCCCGCAGTAGAGGGCCAACAGAAGACAAACTCAGGGGAATCTTTGGAGGTTCATTGTCCCATAATGTCATGTCAGAACTTTTCACTTTTTTAAAGTTTATATTATTTTTTAATTTAGTTTTACTTTACCTATTGTCTTAGGTAGGGTCTCTATTGCTGCGATGAGACACGGTGACCGGAGCAGCTTGGAGAGGAGAGGGTTTGTTCAGCTTATGCCTCCTCATCACAGCACTGCTCCTCATCAAAGGAAGTCAGGACAGGAAGTCAAAACGGGCAGAATCCTGGAGGCCTCAGGCAATGCAGAGGCCATGGAGGGTGCTGCTCATTGGCTTGCTCGCCATGGCTTGCTCAGCCTGCTTTCTTAGAGAACCCAGGGCCATCCACTCAGGGAGGCACCACCACCAGTCACTAATTAGGAAAATGCCCTACAAGTTTGCCTCTAGCTCAATTTTATGGAGGGATTTTCTCAGTTGAGGCTCCCTCCACTCAGCTGACTTTAGCTTGTGTCAAGCTTACAAAAAAACTAGCCACCACACACACACACACACACACACACACACACACACACACGTATAAGTGTATTTCTTCTTTTTTCTTCTTCCCCTTCTTCTTCTTCTCTCATTTTTGCAGGTCACTTGTTTCCAGTGGAGTGTTTCTATGGTGTTCCTGTGCCTGTGATGAGTTGGTCTCTGCGTCTGTATTTGCTTTTCGTGCCTTCTCTCAAGCTCGTTTCCATCTGTCTGTCTTGTCCATCTCCAATCTGATAGCTTTTGTTTTATGTGCTATTACCGCTTAGAAGCCTGTTTGTTTTCTAATGAGACACAGAAAGGGGATAGACCTGGACGGGAGGGGAGGTCAGGGAGAACTGGGAGGAGCAGAGGGAAGGGGAACTGTAATCAGGACACATTATGTGAGGGGGGGGGGCTGTTTTCAATAAAAAGGAAAACAAGAGAATCCCTGGTGAACCTAAGCACATTCTGAGCAGGATTCCCACAGAGAAAACCAGAGAACCTGACAATGTTTCCCAAACTGCTAGATTCCAAGCTAATGTTCAAATATTAGCTAGAAGTGAACCTAGCAGAGATAATTAAACAAATAGATACCTTTGCTAAACCCAAAACTGCAAATAACTATTAATAAAGTGGAATATAGACATCTACCTTCCCTCGAATTAAACTCAGGTAAACCTGCGCATAAAAACACAGACTCACACAACACATTCACATGCGAGCAAACTGCTTACTCAGTGAGGATATGTGCACTGAGAGAAGGGTCCCTGCTTCGGGAGCTGTTTCAAGCATGTGACAGAGAGAGACACCCAGTAACAGTGACAAACCAATTAGAAGGGGTCATCAGGAAATGCTGGCTTGTATTTGATGTTGT